ACTTCGTTTATTTAGAATATATTTTCGTTACCAATAAAATAAAAATCTCTCAGTCAATCAGAAACCCGGATTCATGCCTTTGAGGAAGGTCCCGTTTGAACGCTCACATCGGTTTTTTTTTCGTTTGGGGGAAAACTAAAACTGGTCGCAATTTTCGAATAAGAATGAGTCGGCAATTTTTAGTGGAGTCGAAAATTTGGAGGTAAATAAAACACCGAAACCCGGCAAATAAATAGGCGGTCAAATTTTTAGAGGGGTCGAAATTTTGGAGTTTTCGCGGTGTTAATTATTCCATTTCAATGAAACTTAGTACAAAGATGCTCTAGGACAATGTACAAACCTAATTAGTTTGGGGTAAAAATCTGTTCATATTAATTCCCTAATAAGCATAATAATTCATAATTTTTTGGTTCTGTTACATTGCGCAGACCTCATTAGTTTTACACTCAAATCTGGTCATATTAATTTTCTGATTTGCATAATTAGTTTTCAGCTAAGTAATTTCGAATTATATTTAATGTGTCTCCAATACTCTCAGCACATGGGAGTTCTTTCTAAGCTTTCTTTGATTATTATTAAATCATTTCATGCCTAGGTAGAATTCTTTAGTGTATGGGAATTTAAAAATAGCATATACATCAAGTGTGTGAAAGAAATTTACCAGAATTGTTTTTGTTTTTTCTGGACATTACATAACAATGTATTCTACACATGTTGAATACATCACATATTGCCCCGTATCCAACACGGTGATGCCCACCGAATGTGACACGTAAATTTGAGACTTGTTCCCAAAAGTTAAATTTTGTTATGTTTTTTTTTTTCCTCCAGATAATTGGTATCATATTATGGATTTCCTGACCTTAGTAATCATCTACTCTATTGCCTTCGCTATATTTGCATATATCTTCTTCTTGGGTGACTCATCTTACCATCAGCATGGTATCGTAGGAAACCTCAGAACAGCCATTATCAATGTGAGTTTATTAAAGAGAAGATATGTACATCACCAACATAAGTGTGGGTTACTTATGACACCAATGCACAGCGCCCTCTGTAGATGAAAAAGGTTTTTCTTTGCTGGGCCTAACTTGGATGTGTCTATGATCAAAATATGTGATATGCACTTCTAATAGAGCAGTGTAGTACATGATTGTTACCACTATCAACATTGTTTGGGACGTTTCAAGTAGTTAAAGTTAATAACTGGTTGATTAAATTGTCATTAATTTTATTCAGATGAACAGTCATAATTTGTAGTTAGTGATGTGAACCACACCTATGGTGGAATCTCTTTGTGGGTCTCAATGTCACCATCTTGAATTTTCAAGATATAATGTTCCAGCTTACTATTATCTTGAAGAAAGTTGTGTATGTTAGTTGCGCCACCACAGTTAGAATACAGAAATGTTGGGCCATCTACATTGCTCTTTCTGTCTAGTATAAAAAATATATAAATTATATTTTGGTTCTTGGGTATTGGGTTTGTAGAAAAATTTTTTTGGATAGATGACCTTACATACTAATTAAGACTTACTGTAATACATAACCAGTGCCTGGCAATTATTCAACCAGTGTTTAATTTTCTCTTCCATGTTTATTACGATTCAATGTAATTTTATGGTTATATGTGTGTGGCAGGCTACAGTTTCCGACACTGAATATTAACATTATATCTGCAAGTGCCAAAGATAACGGTACATGATGTACATATCTAGGTATAGTGCCAACAAGCTTCCAGACTGTGAATCAAAAATCGGCCAGACACCTGGCCAGTGACTTTGATTGCCCCATCTATCTCATACTCACAACTAAATCATTGTGCACTCATACACTGGTTATAGGTAAAGATGTTCAACCCCAGGTTTAATTTTTGGCTTATCGATCATCGGACCTCTCGGACCAGCGTGACAACCAAAGGCAGCAACAAAAAAACATTCACCATACTGCCAGTGATCATGGTCTGTGCCCGGAGAGCGGAGCGGTGAGCGGTGATCTTGGTTGGTTGAATCGTATGTAGTCCCTGAGAAAAATTTACATATCTATCCAAATTATTAATTACCATTTCTTCTTTTCAGTTCATTATTTGGTGGCCTGAACATTGTCTTCCCACTCCATTGTATCGTATGTGTAAAAGACAACTGGAATATGTATTATATACAAGGTATTTAATATCAAATCTATATGATAATTTAATTTGTCCGATCATTTTTCCAATGAACAGGCTCAAATTGTGTGGTTTGCATAGTTAATCACTTAGGTAGCCATGCTGTTTCAAGTGTATCATCACAGTTATAGACAGCATTCTGAAAATGTCACATGGCCAAATGATGTGTGACGTTTACAAGAAGCTGATGTACATGTGGCTGTTACACGTGTAACATCACAGCTACAAGGTCAAATGAATGATTTGTATCACGACAATTCATGAAATAAATTCCCCATTGCTGTCAGTGAAACAGTATCATATGCATGAACACAGCATCAAATTCCAAACCTGCTGAAGCTCTGAGTTCAAAAGTGGTTTACACTAGAAAGTATGTGAATTAATCTGCATATGAAATTACTATATGCATGTGAAATGAAACAAACTGGTTATTTCAAAATCCACGTAGATATGAAAAACCAAGTTACAGAAATAAACACATTACCATTACCAAGAATGGTATAAATTTCATCTAATAGCATCAACAATTGTACAAATATCTCTAATTATCAAAAAAGTAGCATTCATATTACATCTGCTCTATTAGAGTAGTGCATATACTTACGTAACTGACAGAGGTGTGTCTATGATCAAAATAATAGAACTCATTGTTTCATAGGCAAATTTAAATCTTAGTGAATATGCTCAAAATAGTGAAGGTGAAAAGTAATGCTTTTACAGTAAATGGAATTACATGTGTGATCTCTAGATATAGTTGTAGAGTGAAACCTTGAACGTTTCAAACCTATGGTAATTTGGGTGCAGAGTTAAAAAAATTTTGAACACTAGGTGGCGCTATGCGTGCTTATAGCAAAAATATTTTTTATTTTCAAATGCAAATACTCCTTCAACCTTTTAAACACATACATTTTTCACAGATTTTAATTGATTTTCAAGAAATTCCTTGTTACCGATAATTTTGGATCAAATGGACATAATTTCCCATCAAAAGTAATATGGTGAAAAATATGAGTTTTTTATTTTAATGAAAGCTTCAATTTTAGTACAACATTTTGCCATTTTTCATTATTTTGAATCAAGTTGACATAATTTGTTATTGACTACAAATCCTGATTGGAATTTTGGAAAAAATTGGAAAAAATGATGTGGGTTTTAATTGGTAAAAGTACAGATTGACTTTGGCATGCTAAGAGTTGACAATTCTATATAATCCCACAATATTTTCTCTTAGAATAACGTCAGCAGACACAAGAAATTACCGCCAGAGTTTTGTATCAATCTGAGCCACATGCTACTCTGGCATTAATCATAAATGTATGCTGACGTCAACATAAGAGAAAATATCATAAGATTATACATTTATCATATGCATATTTCCACAATATCTCAAATACAAATATACTATTTTGCGCCTCATATGCTAATTTTGTTGACATCACAGTGTTCTATTTCATGCCAACACCTTGCATACTCTGTATGGAGATTTTGCTCTTTCGTGGTATTTGTTTGTAATTTAGATTGATTTCTTGGAGGGACTGAATAATATTTCTGAAAATACACACATGAGCTTGCCAAAAAGAACTGTTACTACCACAATCTGTAGTTATCGGGTCGTATATAATCCTGGAAGCTTTGGACAATGTTCAGGCAATGAAAAAAGTTGGCAGTGTGTGACGCAACACTTTGGTGGTATGGGGTTTTTGATCTGCCCTGCCCTCTCTTATGTCACACTGTACGATATGCAAATTATGCATGTGATAAAAACTGAGCAAACAATAATCTGTCAATGATTACTCATGTTCAGAGACCACTGCCAGTATTGTGTTGTCATGGCAACCCTGAGAATAAGATAACTGACTCCCTAGTGCCCCTGTAAATATCACTGTGACTCCCTATGGCTCCAGTAAAGTTCATTGTGAATACTGTGGAATACTTTATTTTCGCTGGAATTAATTTTCGCTGAAAAGGCTTTTTGGGCGTGTTGCTTGGAATTTATTTTCACTGATTTTTCATGAGTTCAATGTGAAATATAGAAAAAAAAGTATATTCACTGGATTTTATTTTCACGGAATCATCCCTTCAGCGAAAATAGCGAAAATAAATTCCAAGCGAAAATAAAGTATTCTACAGTACTTGTATTAATGATACCACTATTACAAAATATGAAATTTGCAAAAATATTGTCTCTTCCAAAATTAAAGCTAGTACAATTTAAATATTGTCTGAATAAAATGAAAGTAGGTTATATAAGCTTAACCCAAGGAGTGTCTGAATTTGATTTAGATTGAGAATCAGTAATGTAATAGCATCCCCTGCCATGTGAATACCATCTGTCTATCCATATAGACACCAATCTCTATGGATTCATTTATTTACACTCTGTGTATGTATTACTACATACTGAGCTCAAGGCATGCTACTTTAATCAAAAATAAATAAATAACTCAGGCACTGAGAAACAAATTACGCAGGTTTTCCACTGATATCATGGCAGTTAGGTATAGTAATGATAGATAATATCATCTTGTGTTGGTCATCTTGCATATTACTAGTATTAAACTGAGAAAAAAATGTAAAATGTCAAAATATAAGTGAAATAAAAGGTTTTGCCTCAGTATGTGTCCCTTTAACTTGCGTAAAAAGACACTTTATAAAAGAGTGATCGACCATGATCGATGATTAAAAAAAGCGCATGTGTTGACCAAATATTGTGTATTTTCACTGGAAGTACAAACAAGTATTAGGAAATAAAATTCTCAGTGTTATTTAAACACTGTATTAAATTCCAGTTTATTGAGAATTATTGGTAAATCTTAAAAAACAACACAGTTTGGCAACTTGTAGAAAAGGCACACTCTGAGACTTGGCACTGGGATTTGGTAAAAAAATATAAACACAGCTTTGAATTACATAATTTCTAGCAGAGCAGAAATGATTGTTATTTTAATTAAATATTTTCACTTCATGGACAGAATAATATTTAATATTTTCATAGTTAATTTTTGTGAAACTTCCAATAAATTGTTTTAAATTGTATTTTATCTAATCAAACTGAATTCAGTTTGTATGGGAAAATAGCTGTTTATTTGATCAGATTTTTCGCATCAAATTGACTTTCAAAAAGTTTGACGCAGACGGATTTAGTTTAAATTTTGTACCGGTATATACATTGACTCCTTGATGTTTTTAAAAAATGGCTGACTGGTGGCCATTTTGTTTTATGCAAATATAGGGCCATATCTCACACATGTCTGGACCAATCAAGTTGAAACTTCACACATACATCATGCATCAGGTCATATATATTTTGAAAATAAATTTCAGTTATTTATTATAAACTGATTGGTTCAAAACGTGTTCAATGCAATGAACATCATGGACCAGAAAGCATGTAATTTTGTTTCTTGATTGAATGCATAAAGCTCTACTTGGCTGCCATATTGTTTTTTTATAACACATCACTCGTTAATACTGTACTGTAATTGGTCAAAACAGGATCACGTGTTATCGGCTAAATTACCATAGTACCACCAGGGAAATTACTAGTTCCCTAGGGAGACTAGTACATCAACTAGTGCCTGGGGATGACGTCACTCGTCACCTGATCGTGTGAATTCCAATATGTCGTCTGCTAGTTCGGCCGCTGATATCGATGGTTCGCCTTGAAAGACTGGACGATTTAGCTTCAGTTCAAAAGAAGAACTTGACACACTAGTAGAAAAACAAGATGCACCGAAGACGAAGGACGCAATCAGGTTTTCTAGAAGCGTCTTTACATCGTTTTGTGAAGAAAACGGGACACCGCTAGCAGACGACAAGAAGAAGACGGCAGACGATCTATGCACGTTCCTAGTATGAACATTTAATGTGTTATAAAACACATATGTGCTTAATAGAATGCTGTTTAATAGCCATACTTCTAACATGTGTTTCCTGTACACATTATTCATGCAATATTCTCACACCTGATAATGACAATGAAATGGCATTTTTTTTTTAACAGAAACTGCTGTATGCAGGTACTGTACATATCATTGGTTGCAATAATCTATCTAGAGCTGACTGTCGAAATCATGCCTCTTGCTGTTAACTATAAATTTGGGTTTAGAACAATAGCCTTGCCGTACATCCTTGCTATCATCAATACCTATTATTTTGTACGATGTTGCCATGGCAACCCTGGAGTCATCACTGAGGCCAATCATGAGAATTTTCACAAGGTTTATGCATATGATGGAGTACTCTACAAACCCAATGTGAATTGTAAAACGTGTAAATTCATCAAACCTGCACGGTCAAAACACTGCGGTAAGTCGTCACCATAAAAAATGCTGTTTTTTTCAGATTCCGTGAACAAAACTTTTTTTTAAAACAAGTTAGATGGCGAATGATTTAGCCCAGGCATTTTCCAGTGTCAAAATCGTTAAACTATCTGTTTTTACGCAATCTGGGAAGTCTGAATTACTAAATGAAGTACAGGACGACAAAGCTGAAATATCCAAAAACCAACACATACCAAAAATTATAAATAAGTCTAACCGGACCAGAAGTGTGAATTTGTTACTACTCTAAATATCCAAACATATTTTAGTATAAAGTAGTAATGAGTACATCTAACAACTAAATGCACAATCAACCGGCATGTAGTAGAGGTCAATGTCATCCCATACTCTCCCATACTGCCTGAGTGCATACTTTGCGGAATTCTCATGATAACATTTTTTCTTGCTCAAACTCATAAATTAGTGAGATATAAACCAGCAAACTGTATTCATGCCTGCGCAATGATGTGATACTTTGCTATTTATGCACTTCGCTGTTTACAAAGGAAAGTGTTAAAACGTGACATGTCGATAAATTGTGATGAACATTTCCAAATAAGGAAGATATTCAAATACGTCCATGACATTTTTGATGTTTTTTGTTTTTTTGTATCACACCTTCCCATATATCAACCCAGAAGTTTTAGGCTACCTTGTGGCTGGTAGTGCGTACAATGAAAATATTTGGCCATATGTGCATTTTTGATCCGTCTTATATTACATCACACTGTGAAGGTATATGTTATGCATGTTAATGTGGATCAACAAATAATTGCATTTTTTTCACAGCCTTGTGTGACCACTGTGTTCATCGTTTTGATCACCATTGTTCCTGGGTCAATAACTGCATCGGTGGATACAATGTGTACTATTTTCTTGCCTATTTACTGACAATCATACTTGGATGTCTATCTATCAGCTATGTAGCAGCATGGTATCTCAAATACGTCACACTACTGTCAGGTTTACAAAACGCTCAGTACATCGGTGAAGACTCCCAACCACATCCGGTCACTAGGTCTATTATATTCCAGGTAACTATGGTACTACCTTTTTTGACTCCTGTGTGTGAAGCACAAAAAGGGAGTTTTTGCAGTTAGTGTGGGTGTGTGTGTGTGTGTGTGTCTGTTCCACTGATATCTCAAGAACCATACATCGATTTTTTATGAAACTTGGTGCATAGATGCTCTGGGCCAATGCGCAGATTTGATTCGGATTTGGTGAAAATCAATGCATATTAATTACCTAATTTGCATGATAATTAGCTGATTTTTAGCTGTTCCATGACAATTTTCGGCTTTTCCACTGATACCTCAAGTAGTAATCATCACATTTCAATAAAACTTGGTACATAGATGTCATAGGACACTGCACAAACCTGATAGTTTTTAGGGTAATATCAGTACATATTAATTACCCAATTTGCATAATTAATTAATTAATTTTCAGCTTTTGATATTTCAAGTAGTAATCATCACATTTCAATGACACTTGGTACATAGATGTCATAGGACACTGCACAGACCTGATAGTTTTTAGGGTAATACCAGTACATATTAATTACCCAATTTGCATAATTAATTAATTAATTTTCAGCTTTTGATATTTCAAGTAGTAATCATCACATTTCAATGACACTTGGTACATAGTTACTTAAGGACTGTGCAGACCCCTGATTAGTTTTTGGGTAAATATTAGTGCATATTAATTACCTTATTAGCATAATTAGTTAATTTTCAGCTTTTTGCCTGATATCTCAAGTACTAATCATACTATTTCAATGAGACTTGCTTCATAGATCTTCTTGGACTATGCAGTGACCTGATTAGATTTAATTGGATATTAATTACCTAATTTGCATAATGTTCCACTGATATATAAAGAACCACGAATTGGATTTTAATGAAACTTTTAAAGAGAACTATGCAGAAACCAAATGAGTTTTTGGTAAATATTTATGCTTATCACCTAATTAACGTAATTAATTAACACTGATATCTCAATTACTGATCATCACATTTGAATAAAATTTTGTACATAAATGCTCTAGGACAATAGACAGGCCTGATTAATTTTGGGTTAAAATTTGGACATATTAATTCTCTAATTAGCATAATAATTCATATTTTTTTTGTTCTGTTCTGTTCATATTAGTTACCTAATTTACATAATTAGTTTTCAGCTTTCCCATCAATATCTCATGTACAAGTAATTTTGAATTAATTTCTAATGTGTCTTCAATACTCTCAGCACACGGGAGTTCTTTCTAAGCTTTCTTTGATTTTTATTCTGTTTTTTGTTGTTGTTAAAACGCAGTTTTAGATATCTTGAAATCATAGAGCAATCAACACTTTTGTATTTTAAGTCAATAAAAGTACAACCTCCGTGGCAGGAATAACAGCTGTGAAAAATAATATATACCGGTATCACAGTATACAGCTGTCATTATTCATTTCCATAAAAGTTATGTCAGGATATGACAGTTCCCATTTCTTTTTCAGTGTAAGTTCATATAGAAGCAAGTGTACATAATTATGTTCCATGGTAACCATACCATGTCAGAGATAGGTATCCAAAGTGGCTTTGTTAAAACAAAATGGCCATCTGTCAGCCATTTTTGATCTAGTAGGAAAAAAAAAAGACATGCACCAAGAAACCATTATATTCAATGTACATGTATTTACCAAGTTTCATTAAAATTTGTAAATGCATAACTGAGATCCTGTTTCAGAATGATTTTGATGAAAGCAGCCATTTGACCATCATGAATTGCCTCATAAATAAATGTGCACAGGTATCCCACATAGTATAATGTATGTGTGGCGTTTGAATGTAAGTGGTCTAGGCATGCCTGAGATAATTTTTTCCAGAACAGCATTCATTGAAACAAAATTACGACCAATCAGCCATTTTAAATCTGATCTGCAAAACAAAGTTACATGTATCAAAGTCCCATAATGTTGTATTTATATACTAAGTTTGAACGAAATACACAACCGAAATCTTGTTACAAATTGACATTTGATTTTTATGAATTTTTATCACTAAAATGGCCGTCATTTGGACATCTTGAATCTGATCACAAAGAGAATATACATGAACAAGCTGTCCCATGATGTATGTGTGAAGTTTGATTTTCCAGGCATGTCGAAGACGAGTGTAGATGGACAAATGCACTGAGGTTAAATTATTCTTTCAAGCATAACCATTTTCTGAAGTTTTTTTATAAACAATTCTTATTTAAATAAATCTATTACAGTATCTGTGCAAGTCCCAGCGTGCCATAATTTTGCGGTATTGCACAGGGTATCAAATGCGCTTTTGAAAACAGTCTATAATTCAAAATTCATAGTGAGAAAGTTCCAATAATTTTGCTCAGTTCTGGGTTTTATACACCAAGCGGTTGGACCAGGAAAATTTTTAATAATGATGTTATAATGTAAAGTACGCACTTAAGTAGTCCACAGTCGTATCAACCTTCGTTATACGTCTGTCGATACTCTTCTTGTATCTGTGTCTTTGTTGTACAGTCATAATAACCTCATATTGTGTGTTAATTTCTTTCATCACAGCATCTATTTCTACAGTATCCCCGAGTGGTGTTCTTAATGACGTCATTGCTATTGTTATCCCTGATTCTCGGCGTCTTCACAAGCTATCACATCATTTTGATGCTGACTAATCAAACAACGAATGAAAGATGGAAAAAACTTCCTTATGAAGTAGAACAAAAGCGAAAACAAACCAGACTCTTGTATAGCAAAGGAATTATTGGTAACACTGCCGAAGTGGTCTACCCAATATGTAGAAAGAGGAAAAAGAGCTGATAGTTAAAGCAGACTTTTTGTAATTTGTACATTATAAAACTGCTTTAATTTTGCGAGAGGTGAATGAAAATCAGAACATTTTGTGGAAATGATAATTTTCATAGGGGGGGGTCCTAAATTTATGGACTCCAAGCAACTTTTGTCTTCACAAACACTGTCAAATCGGCAGTGAAAATTAAATTGCTTACAGTATATAGTGTTTATAAAGATTACAATTTGCATGACATTAAGTGAGATTGTTTTTCATCAATTCGTGTTTAAGAAATGCATGTAAAGTTTCATCCAGGAATGTTTTGATTACACCAAGGAAATGTTAATGACAGCCACTACTGTATATGCATTAGAATTTAGTTTCAAAATCATATTCCACAAGTTTTAAATTCAGATTTGACAGCGTACCAAGTTCTGTTTGGTTATTTTACATGTTCCCTTCAATTTTCTACTTACTAGTGGAAATTAAAACCAATTATTAAAGTGAATAATGTATTTAATAGTGTAATATTCAACGCCATGAAAAGGAGACTCTACAATTATATCATTGTACACACCTTTGATGTTTGCTATTTCAGATCAGAAACTATCTATAATCAGTGGTGAGCACACTTTAATTTGAAAGGTCATTGAGGTTAGCCAATGACATCACCATGCATCTTCTCATCGTATTATTCAATTTCATCCTGAGAGCATTTACTCACATAGAATGTACATTTCAGCCACTATGACACACTATGGGAGGGGACCAAGATTATGGTAGTTTTTTATCAAGCTAATACAGATGCAAACTTAGCATACACTTAATACAATTTTTTTATTCAGTGTTTACTTATGCAGGATACACTTTGTTAAATATACTCCGGCAATAATTAATTCTAATGTCCAACTGATTTTAATTAAAACTATAATGCTTGGTAGCTGTTGTTTCTACTTGAATATAAATAAATGGTATAAATAAACTGTGAAACTCACTTTTGTGCGTGCACAGATAGATTCACAACGGTCAAAGGTTACGCATGGGTAATGATCTGAATTGTTTACAGAATACACCAGATATGACAAGGGCATGTGAAGGTGATTTTCTAGCGCAGATATGACATCAGTCGTTTATCAATATAAAAAAAAAAACTGTGCCAGACAGCGAATCAACAATTAAATATGCGATGAGCACGCTGACAAATCATGCAAGACGTGTGCAATGTTCAGTGATAGACGCATGACGATCATCATTATTTTACCATTGTTTACAGTCTGCCGAGTTCAACAGTTCAATAAGTGGCAGGTATTGGTATAAAAAGGCTGGTAGCTTGAAATAAAAACATTATTTACAAATTGACAAGTTGAGTGAAGTTCCTCAAGTGGTGCATTAAGTATGCATAGAATTTTATTTTGCATTTTACAGTGTATGATCTCTTATCTATCTTGCCTCTAACAATATTTTGAGATAAGCCCCAAATTATCCATCTTAACTTTTTACTGAAACTTTGAGTTGATACCGTTAGAGGTCCTGACATTGGGACCTCAAATCAACAGATGTATGAGGCTAGTTTCTAAAAGATACAGATTTCCAATGACTACACAGCATACATGTAGGTGAGTCGGCATCATTGCTGTGTAGTAACTCAGTGGATTAGCTAGAACCGCACAGCTAGTCCAGAAAACCTCCAATATATTGTTAAATGTGGAGTGTAGTAGCACTTAAAGTTGCATTCCCACAATTCAAATCTGTGACAAATATATACACGTTAAAATGTGGAGATTTTGGATTAGAAATTAGCTACAGAATATGAATTTAAGTTGACCTCTTGAATCAATTAAAGGGTGGTGGTCATCGCATTGATAAACATTGTTTTTCCCACTCTTCTAATGGAAATCACAAATACAAATTTTGACTAGGGAACGACGTGAACTAATTACCATCAGTGACTCCTTCGATCCCCAAATAAATTTCATATTTAAACATGTTACTAGTAAAGCTTGGTATACTTGTTGGTCTATGCAACAGTCAAAGTCGTCATCTTTGTTCATATGAGACCAACAGCCATGGCCCTTTAAGCTGCATTTGTAATAAATAGACACTGAGTTAGAAGGCTTTGTTCAGTTACTATGTTTGTCAAGGGATAAGACCCTCTCATGAAATAATCGGAGAAGTGATATCTACTTCTAATCTATCATATTCTGTAACTAGAACAGCATCATTTGATCACATTTTATGTTATTAGCTTGTTCTGGTAGTGATGTCTTACATATTTGCAATGTGGGAATACAACTTTGAGATTCTAATGACCTTTGACCATTGAAAACACTATCAGCACTCCTTAAAAAGAGTTGTGACAAAACTTTGAAACATTCTACATTCCTATAAAAATTAAGCACAAATATGCAGCATGGTGCATTTTTTGTGGGTTTTTTTTCTTAAATAAGGCTCCAGCCTCATAAAAATACAGTCTGTCTGTCCTCTTAGAGGAAGTGTTTGTGAGAATGTAAAACCGCATCATAACTCGTAGATGAGTGGTGTCCCCAGTTAGCAAGCCATTAAATACAGGTCCTGGCATCCCAGTAGCAAAAGAATTGACAACCATATGCAGGAATGACATCAAGTAGAAGATGATGAACTTCCAGTCTATTGCTGCTCCACCTTCAATCACAAAGCACCCACATATGAAAAGTTTGGCATCACCATCCACGCTATGGTTATATAGTCAAATCAGAGTAGCGATATCAAGCATTTTCACACCAGCACATTGGTATGACCCTGTAGCAGGAATGTAGGGGCGTTCGACCTACCCTGTCCAACAGAAACTTTGATTCCACATCTATGTGTGTTCATCAGTGTAAAGTGTAATAAACAATTCAGTGTTGTACTCCTGTCTCATTTACTTTTATGATTGCTTGCTCTTTTTCCTGGGAGGTCCGAGTAAGGGACTTTGTGCACTTGCGAGCGCTCGAAAAGCATCAGCTACTAAATGTGGGTGGCTCCGTACCATTGATTTCCATCCGCTGGTGTCCATTACATCCATTGCATGACTAGTAAGAATGTAAAGATAATATATTAATGATTAAATATCAGTAAAGAAAACATCCAGGGGCAGATATTACAATAGATGTGTTCTAGGTTCTCTGGTTACTAAGTGTTGAAGCGAACCTAAATGCGGCCTTAATTTATAGTTGTGTATATTCTAAACTGCGTGGTGAACGAATAATTTTTTTGGATAATATTTCGTTGTTTGCAAGATGGTTACAGGGTTTAACCCCAAAACAAAATCATTTTTTCTGAGTTGGTCCTTGAGTACAAGCTCATCCCTTACTTTTCCCTTATGTGTTCATGCCTCCGGGCTTATAATCAGGGAAGTACGGTATACTGTGAAGATTCAGATCAGTCCAGTGTGAGTGAGAGTATATCGTCGACTGTGCCCCTTGTTCGGATGATAGTTTTATTTCAAATTAAACGGAAGTCAGTGAACACTCTGCTTGGTGTTCCTGTGACACTTGTTCCATGATTTGCCAGTGCAGCCCCGTGAATACATGGACGAAAATGTTTCCACCACCACCCTACGAAGTCAAGATTGCATACTCCAGCATCCATACTTTGAATAATTTGCACGCCGCACAGTGCAGTACTGGAAACAGTATTTATTAGACAGTTAGACAAAAACAAAACAAAATGCCTGTCTCGATCATCGCACATCT